CATAGGAGTTGGTATCATTGAAAATAATAACATCTTACCATGGTTTGAGATCGTGCACAGCACTCTCACTTTATCTAGATTAGTACCACTAGTTATCAATCCCCAGTCGATAGCTGTAGATCCATTGTTCATAACACTGTGAAACAATTTACTTGAAATCGATAATAATCAAAACTCAATTCATCGTTGATTTCTGCCGCAAACCTTACAAATTTCTTTCTCTCTCTATTATCTTCTCCATCTATTCCTTCTTTTCTACAATTACTACTACAAGTGAGAGGTGGCTGAATTTATAGGCTAAGGCAAGTAGGACATGTCTCGTTGTATGATTTGATCTCTTTGCTTGACACATGACAAAGACACTTGTCAAGTCATTACTTCATCCTACACACTTTGCTCTGCCGTGCTTACTACGTGTCTTCCCCTAGATTCACACATTTTGCTTTGAACAAGTGCTGTGCCCAATGACACATTAAAGTGAACACTTGTAACCACATGGGTTTTGTTTCTATTGGTTACTACAATTAACTTTATTTTTATTATTATGGTAGTTACTACAATCAACACTTCTTGAAGAATCAGTTTCTGTAATAAAAAGGGGATGTCATAGAATATGTGACTTTTGAGCATGACTGTTTATTTTTGCCATTGCGTATTAAGACAAACTAAATGTTCTCTGAACTCATGATTTGGCCTCTCAAGTGTTTCATGAAGTTTCAAGTTTTTCCAGAAAATTCAGCTAGAGACAGCGATCTGATGTTGTTTCATCCTCTAATCATACTTTTGCTGACCCTCATTCACAACCTTGCAGACGTCAGGTCTTTAATAATAGTCTCAACTTTTGTAAGTGTGTCAAGGATTTTCTCTTCTCATTAATGACATAAGCTTGATGAAACTTGAAAGAGATCAGTTTTGTCTCAGTGATGCTGCCAGAAGCACATAATTTCTTTGTTCAGTTATTAACTAGTTTTTTTTGGGTTCCTTGACTGACTTTCATGTAAGCCTTTTTTTCTGATTTATAGGTGATTGTGGAGAAGGCGGAGAGAAGTGATATACCCAACATTGATAAGAAAAAGTAAGAATCGTTTGTACCAGCAATCCGCTCTCAATTCTCAGATTTATCTTCCTTTTTACTTCCCACATTCTTATGATATAGCATTGTGGTTCAGATTCTAGTGGTTGAGGACACTTTAAAATCAATTTGTACCGGGACAAATCGGTAGTTTTCAGGGACCGTGTATTATGTGGAAAACTAAAATTCATGAGATTATCAAACGTAATCCTTCTCTCATGACCGTTTCTTATACCACTTTTTGCAATGAGGATTAAAGGACCATGGAATCCGTAGGAAATTCCTGTAAAATTCTCTCTCACATACCCCTGCACTACAAGCTCTTATTTATTATTGAAAGCAAGAATCAATTTACAGTAAATTTGTAATGGCGTAATTTGAAGGGAACCAAATAATTCTTTAAGAATGATATCTTAACCTTGACTTTTTTTTTTGTCAGACCCTTGACTTTGTATTTTAATAGTTTTGCTTGCTGCCATAAAAATAAGTATTTGATCTTGGCCAAAGAAGGTGATAGCCCTGTAGATTCGTTCCAGTGGGTTCAATCCTTCCCTGACTTGTCATTGTGCAAGTTGTGGAAGACTAAACTGTTGACCTAATTGCGTCCTTGTTAATTTTTTTCCCCTTTGAAAAAGCTGTGATCTTTGATATCTCCAAAACAAATGATTGTTCGGAATTGTTTGTTGCTTAAGGTCCTTTTGGGGAATACTGATTATTGCCCTGTTCGATTGTTTGATTCAGATTTTTTGAATGACTTCATGGCAGTGGTTACACGCAAATATTTATGAGATTTTTTTGGTTAACCTAAATAAGAAAATTACAGGTATCTTGTTCCAGCTGACTTGACAGTTGGACAATTTGTATATGTGATTCGGAAAAGGATCAAACTGAGTGCGGAGAAGGCAATTTTCATATTTGTGGACAATGCCTTGCCACCCACAGGTAGGCCTTGCAATCCCATTTGTCTTTGTTTTTTCATAGTTATTACTGTGGTGTGCTCTACTTTACATCTTGTTTAGCGAGTCGCCAGACCCTTGTTGTTAACGTGCCTCGATGCTGCTGTTCTGTATGGTTTTTGCAGGGGCAATTATGTCTGCCATATATGAGGAGCAGAAGGATGAAGATGGTTTCCTCTATGTTACCTATAGTGGAGAGAACACATTTGGAGACCAGATCTTAAAGTAGTCTTTGATGCTACAGATATTGAATTGTTTACTTCACAGTTACAACTTTGTTTTCACCATCTCTTCCTCCATTGCCTTATTGCTATTATGTACAGCCTATATCTGGTATATAGTTGCTGAAACCTCTATACAATGTCAGAATCTCCTGGGCAATGTTTTAATAATGATAACAGTTCAATGATTGTCATTATAGTTTGGTGTGGGCTTTCTTTTGTGGTTAGATTGTTTGTTTCCTGCTAATCTGCCATATTAGCGATATTCAAATTTGTGTAACACTTAATCTGACTTATTACAGTATTGACCACGTTCAAATAAAATGATAAATTTTCAATACTGTCCAATGGGTGCCGTTGAAAATGGTGGAATATAAATCCTGCTTTTTGCCAGCATTTTCCTGGTGTGACTCCTAAAAGCCCCACAAAACTCACATGAAAAGAGGCAGAGGAAGAAAGTAGGAAGCACGTTTTATCATGTCAGTGTAGAAAATAAGGAGAAGGTTCTTCTATTTTCCATGAAGAGGTTTGGATAGAAGTGAGAATTTTCAACCCAAGACCATAACATTACACATACCTAATGTGAAATCAGCGGTTTAGAGCTGGCCATTGTTTGGTGCAAAAAACCAAACTAACATAAACATTAGTATGAAAATTTACCTTCTGTTGTCAAAATAACATAAGGTACATAATTGATGTTATTAGGATTAAATCATAACAAAAACAATCCTAAGCGGCACAAAAATGATTAAACGATTGAATATAAGAGATGGGACATAAATTTACACACTATAGTTTAATACCATTAATTGCATAATCTCTAATTCTAACCGGTACGCATGAACAATGAATAAAAAAATATTGTAATAATAAACCCAGAAAATACATGATTAATTCGATTTGTCGTTAAAAAAAAAAAGTCAAAAAACGAAACCACCATGGCCCATAGACTATAGACAATAAATTAATACATTGGATCGATCAACAAGAAACTAGGAGCATAGGAGGACTAGATTTTGTCAAAGCTCACGAAAATTCCTCAATGTAAAAAGGAGTGCGCAACAAGCACAAGCTACAGCAGTGGTCCCTCACGGCCCAACAAAAGGATCCACCGTCCAGTCTAGAAACACAGAAACCTAATCCTCTACCTCCGAAACATATAAAAATGAATGCAGCCGACACAAAATACCATTGATTTTAGGAATAAGTCTACTCATATTTAATTTTTTAGTATCATACAAAAATAATTATTAACCACAAAAATTATTTTGAATTATTTATAACTAGGTCGGTCAATGGACCAGATCTCTATCCTAATCCGATTCGAATATCTTAATTGGATATTTTTATCTATTTTTTTAAATTCGATTCAAATTCATTTAAATATTTTAAATTGGATATGAATTTAGATATATATATATATATAAAATTGATCCGATAAAAATATAATCTAATTAATATACATATATATGTTGCCTTTTATTATACACACATGATTATTTGTTAAAATTTTGGTGGAATATCATTATGAATCTGATCGAAGAATTAAATTAAATGTTCAAATATAAGTGGATTTATTTATAGACTAATATTTTTATATTCATTGAATAAAATAATAAATTTTTTAATCAAATTTGGGTTTTAGCTGTTAATCATAAAATTAATAAATAATTAAATTTCACACGTCATTTTAACATTATAACCATTAAAAGATGTATAATGTTATTGGGGTCTAATTTACTGACCTAATTCATTATGACGTTTAGATTGACGATAGACTTCATCAAACATTAGAATTTGGTATTAATCCAATGATTCTAATGAAGACACGTCATTAGATCAACAAATTATGTCAGATTTTTAGATCCAAATAATATTTTCCTAATAGTTATTCGGTATTAAAGTTTAAACCTTTAAGATCATCGTACGGTTCATAAGTTACCACACAATCAAACCGCTGCATGTTTATCATACTCTATAACTCCTCCTCCATCTTCTATGTCTCATGTCTTCACAAAAATTGACCGTTGAATAAAACCAAAGAAACCAACTCTTTGCCCTTTCGTCTTTCGTCTGCACTGTGCCTATAAAACTGCAAACCCTTTCCTTCTTCTGCTACAACTCGGTCGACAGAGAGAGAGAGAGAGAAAGAGATAACACCAATACACCATGCAAAAGAGTGTTTCAACTTCATCTTTGGGTCCAGGAGGCCTGGACCTAAGCCAAGCCTTCTTCAAACCCATTTGCGACACAGCCCCACCATCACCCACCAAACGCCACACAAAAATCTCCGTCATAGGCGCCGGCAACGTCGGGATGGCCATAGCCCAAACCATTCTAACCCAAGACCTCTGCGACGAAATTGCCCTCGTCGACGCCAAGCCCGAGAAGCTCCAAGGCGAAATGCTGGACCTCCAACACGCCGCCGCCTTCCTCCCCCGCACCAAAATCAAAGCTTCTGTAGACTACGCCGTCACCGTAGGGTCGGACATTTGCATTGTCACGGCTGGTGCCCGACAAATCCCCGGTGAGTCAAGGTTGAATTTGATGCAGAGGAACTTGTCTCTGTTTAAGTGTATAATACCGCCGTTGGTTAAGTACTCCCCGGACTCTGTGTTGTTGATTGTTTCGAATCCGGTGGATGTCTTGACCTATGTGGCGTGGAAGCTTTCTGGGTTTCCGTCGAACAGGGTTGTCGGCTCGGGTACGAATCTGGATTCTTCAAGGTTCAGGTTTCTCATTGCGGATCATCTTGATGTCAATGCTCAGGATGTGCAGGTGAGTAATCAGGATTTTCCATTAGGATTTGAAATAGTATTGGGTTCAGCTCCTCTGTTATTAGTATCGTTTTGATCTACAATACCTCTGCTGTTAATTATTTTCTAATAGCAATGGATAGTCAGCCAATAATTATTATTGTATAGTCAGTGCACTTTTCATTTAATGGTCGTTGAATTGTGATGGTTACATTACACCAGGCCTACATTGTTGGGGAGCATGGGGACAGCTCTGTGGCGCTGTGGTCAAGCATAAGTGTAGGAGGAGTACCACTCCTTAGCATCCTGGAAAGGAAACAAATTGCCTATGAGAAGGCCACTCTGGAGAAAATTCACAGAGAAGTTGTTGAAAGTGCATATGAAGTTATAAGTCTCAAAGGTTACACATCATGGGCAATAGGGTACTCGGCGGCTAGCCTCGCACGAACGATACTTAGGGACCAGAGGCGAGTGCACCCTGTCTCGGTTCTCGCCAAGGGTTTCCATGGGATCCGTGGTGGGGAGGTGTTCCTGAGCTTGCCGGCACAGCTTGGTAGGAGTGGAGTCTTGGGCGTGATCAATGTACACCTTACGGAGGAGGAGGCTGAACGACTTAGAAGCTCAGCTGAGACCATCCTGGAGGTGCAAAGCCAGTTGGGTATTTGAGGGATCGTAGACATGCTTTTAATCTGAAATTTCTGCATATGAGAGTATAGGTTGGACTATTCATGCACTTAGTTGTCTACTTTAACTTTCTTTTGCATTTTTCTTCCCGCAGCATGTTGTATTTAACCTTCTACAGATGGGAGTATCGTGGACCGGATGTTTTTTATACCTTACGTTCAATCTACTGAATTGTGCTTTTGTCATGGACACAAAAGCTGTAAACTTTATCTCATTGATCATTAGTCTAAAGGCATCCTACAGTTCTTTTTCTTGTTTGAGCTATGCCTGTTGACAGTTGTGCATGTGGTTGTGACTGAAAGAAACAGAGGCAATGCTTTTTCTGCCATTTCATTTTTGAGTAAATTATATTTTACTCCCTAAATTATTATCTTTATTTTATTTTATACTCTCAATTATAAAATTTCTCACGTTACATTTTAAAGTATTAATTTTATTTACTATCACTCTAATAGATAACGATAAACTTTAAAATCTATCAAAGGAGGGAGTAACACTCCAAAGAACCTCTCGTCAAGTGTCTATTATTATTTTATTTTATCTCTTTTGTAACTAAATGGTTGTTGAAAAGAAAAAAAAATATGTCAGAAGAAGACAATTTAAAATTTTGGAAGGACAAAATCAAACATCACATACACATTTACAAATTACAGTTAAAAAATTAATAGCCGTTATCTATTGGAGTAATATAAAATAAAATTGATATTTTAGGGTGTAATGTAAAAAATTTTATAGTTGAAAATGCAAAGTAAAACAAAGATAATAGTTTAAAGTGGTAAAATATAATTTACCCTTCATTTTTCCACCAAGGCTTTTTCTTTTTGCAATATATACAAGTATAACCAAGCACACATACAAAGCTCAACACCTCTGTGTAACCTTCTATCTAGATTGATATATGTGATAAGTCGCTAGCTATATATTACAGGATTTTGCATTGCAAAATGAGTAAAAACATAAAATTGAGATCAAATTTTGTTGAGGACCTGAGGTTGGCCTATGGCTACTGTAAGGGGTAGAACCCTCTACTAAGGATTTCGGCTTGACCTGGGTTAACCCACGTGGGCGACCCCCCAGTAGCCTTTACCTCTCTTCGCCAATAGGACCCTTTCCTAAGGTAATCCCACATCGGAAGAGAGTCGTCTTCTCCCCTGCCATATAAGTGAACACTTCCTATGGAGGAGGTACCCACTAGGCACCTAGTGGGTACCCCTTTTGATTTCGGCTTGACCTGGGTTAACCCACGTGGGCGACCCCCCAGTAGCCTTTACCTCTCTTCGCCAATAGGACCCTTTCCTAAGGTAATCCCACATCGGAAGAGAGTCGTCTTCTCCCCTGCCATATAAGTGAACACTTCCTATGGAGGAGGTACCCACTAGGCACCTAGTGGGTACCCCTTTTTGTAAGGGGTAGAACCCTCTACTCAGGATTTCGGCTTGACCTGGGTTAACCCACGCGGGCGACCCCCCAGTAGCCTTTACCTCTCTTCGCCAATAGGACCCTTTCCTAAGGCAATCCCACATCGGAAGAGAGTCGTCTTCTCCCCTGCCATATAAGTGAACACTTCCTATGGAGGAGGTACCCACTAGCGACCTGATCAGGTGCCTAGTGGGTACCTCCTCTATAGGAAGTGTTCACTTATATGGCAGGGGAGAAGACGACTCTCTTCCGATGTGGGATTGCCTTAGGAAAGGGTCCTATTGGCGAAGAGAGGTAAATCGTTAACCCAGGTCAAGCCGAAATCCTTAGTAGAGGGTTCTACCCCTTACAGCTACCACCTGTTGTATTTATTTACAAGTTCGATCCTCGTTGGTCCCTCGTAAATTTGATTAAACAAAGGAAGAAATTTTAATAAAGAAATTTTATAATTTACGCTCCAAAAGATATTTTAATTCTCACTTTATATTCTAAAAAATTATTTTTCTCACTTTGTACCTTGAATGTCATAAATTAATTTTAATGTGACACTCAAATTAATATTCGTTTTAAATTTTATTAAAAATTGATATTCATGTCATCCAAAAATATAAATGGTGAGCTTATATTTTTGTTCAAGAACAATACACATAGATGACCCAAAAATATGAATGGTGAGTTTATATTTTTGTTTAAGAGTAACATACCTAGATGACATGTGCATATCGAGAGTCACATTAGAACTAATTTATTATATTTAGGGTGTAATATAAAAAAAAATCTTTTAGGTACGAAATAAAATTAAAATATCTTTAAGGTGCAAGTGTGTGAAAAACCCTTTTAATAAACAAAAATAGAAAAGAAAAACCATGGCCCATAGACAATAAACTATTAATTGGATTGAGCATCAAGAAACCAGGAGCGGAGGACAACGTTTTGTCGAAGGTACGGAAAATTCCTCAATCTAATAAGCAATGGAGGCTTCATCACGCATGATACCAATCCAATACCCCTCCAAAACATCTGCACCTGATTGCACTTAGACAAGCTTTACCCTTCATCTAACTATTCATGGTATCCCACGGTTGATACTTGCCTCACCATCAATCAATCACATGTGCGTCATACTTGATAGCTCCTCATTCGACTTCCACGCACATAAGTCGTCGCAGAAATTGACCGTTGAATAAAACCAAAGAAACCAACTCGTTCTCTTTCCCTTTCCTCCTCCTTCGTCTTCACTGTGAGATTGTGCCTATATAAACTGCAAACCCTGCCCTTCTTCTGCAACTCAATCGAGAGAGACAGAGAGAGAGAGAGACAGACAGACAGACAGAGAAAAGTGCACACCATGCAAAATAGTTCTTCAACTTCATCTCTGGGTCCAGCAGGCTTGGATCTAAGCCAAGCGTTCTTCAAGCCCATTTGCAACACAGAGCCACCATCACCCACAAAACGCCACACTAAGATCTCCATCATCGGAACCGGAAACGTCGGCATGGCCATTACCCAAACTATCCTAACCCAAGACCTCTGCGACGAAATCGCCCTCGTCGACGCCAAGCCCGATAAACTTCGCGGTGAAATGCTCGACCTCCAACACGGCGCCGCCTTCCTCCCCCGCACCAAAATCAAGGCCTCCGTCGACTACGACGTCACCGTCGGGTCGGATCTCTGCATTGTCACGGCGGGTGCCCGACAAATCCCCGGTGAGTCGAGATTGAATTTGATGCAGAGGAACTTGTCTCTGTTTAAGTGTATAATACCGCCGTTGGCTAAGTACTCGCCGGACTCTGTGCTGTTGATTGTTTCGAATCCGGTGGATGTCTTGACTTATGTGGCGTGGAAGCTTTCTGGGTTTCCGTCGAACCGGGTTATCGGTTCGGGTACGAATCTGGATTCTTCCAGGTTTAGGTTTCTCATTGCGGATCATCTTGATGTCAATGCTCAGGATGTGCAGGTGAGTTATCACTTTCCATTTACGTTTAAATGTCTCTGTCTAGATTGTTCTCTCTAGCCGTTAAGGAATCTTGGAATTTATTGTGGGCCGCTTTTGAATTTTTTCAAAAGTTTGTATAATTTTGAAGGGTAAATTTCACACACCCCTTAGATTAGCTTATCTTAAAGTCTTCATTTCAACTATGATGATTGTAGTTATGAAATAATATTGGGATGTTATTACTTGTCGTGGGTGTGTGTTAATTTTAAAAATGGAAATGGGTGTCTCTATAATTGTCAAAAACTAAAGGGATGTCGATTTAATTAACTCTTTTTAGTATGTTTGTTTTGATATCAATAATACTAATCGTACTTGATTTGAAAATCTAATTACTAGATATAATGCATTGTTATTGTTTGGCTAACAGTGGAATACATTCAATACCATGATTCACAATTAATCCAATCCAACGTTAATAATTTATTCATTTCCCAAATTAAATCCTAGTAAGATTGCTCCTTTGAGATTTTAGTTGGCATCACCTGCACAAGTTGAGTGATTTAGGTGCAATCAATGATTAATGTTTCTATTAGTTTTGGTCAAGGTCACACTGACCAGCCAGTAAACAAATTTTTCATTGGCTCATTTTGTTCTTATCCAAAATTATTTCTGGGTGCACTTTTTTCCATTCCCTAATTGGTTTACTATTGAGATTTGTAATTCTTTTTAGTATAGGCATTGCACTTCTCAATTTTTTTTCCTGAATTGTGATGGTTACACCAGGCATACATTGTTGGGGAGCATGGTGACAGTTCTGTGGCGCTGTGGTCAAGCATAAGTGTTGGAGGAGTACCACTACTTAGCCTTTTGGAAAGGCAGCAAATCGCCTATGAGAAGGCCACTCTGGAGAAAATTCACAAAGAAGTTGTGGAGAGTGCATATGAAGTGATAAGCCTCAAAGGTTACACATCATGGGCAATAGGGTACTCGGCGGCTAGCCTGGCTCGAACAATACTTAGGGACCAGAGGCGAATCCACCCTGTCTCAGTCCTTGCCAAGGGTTTCCATGGCATCCAGGACGGGGATGTATTCCTGAGCTTGCCAGCACAGCTTGGTAGGAGCGGAGTCTTAGGTGTGACGAATGTGCATCTTACAGAAGAGGAGGTGGAACAACTTAGGAGCTCAGCTAAGACCATCCTGGAGGTCCAAAACCAGCTGGGTATTTGAGGGACTGTGGACATACTTTTAGTCTAAAGTATCTGCATATGAGAGTATAGGCTGGATTTGTCATAGTCCTTGTTTTCTGTTTAACTTTTTCCGCATTGTCGGTACTTACGGAAGTCTCGTGGATTGGTCTATCTTTATATGTTGTATTCAGTCTATTGAATTGTGCTTTTGCCATGGATACAGTTGAAAGTTGATTCTCTATTATCAGCTGCGAACTTTGTCATTGATGCATTCACCGAATATGTTATCCAAATAGTTGTGGTAATGGTTCAATGCATGTTAGAGGATTGCTATCACCTCATCTACACTTACAAGAGTAGTTGTATAGATCACAGTACATCTTTGGTTTATGATAGTTTTTGTAGAGGTGATCAATATTTGAGAGTGTATACCTCCTCCACTCTCCCTCTTTACACGCAACACACACACTCAAAATATATAGGTGAAGTTTAAATTTCTTATGGTTTTAGTTTTTCATGTTTTCTTACAATTTTGTCTTAAATTCTCATTTTTTTTAAATATGTGGTCAGACGCCTCGTGGAGTTAATTGGATGGTACGACGTTGATGTGGTACAAACCTATACCTAATCAGCATTGGTTCACTTTTGATTAGATGTGTTTGTATCTGGCAATTTACACTGCCCACTATAAAATGCTTATTCTTTTACAATTGTACACGATAGATTAACTGATTGTTACAGATCAAAACGGTGGTTGTCAGGACTCTTAAACCACAAGGAAAACTTGATCGGAGAAAATGGCAATAATATTGAGCCAGGTAGCATTGCAGATTATGGGCGTAAATGTTTGTGTTTCCTGCTCCGTCGCTTCTTCTCTTCGCCTGCACTGCGGCATGGGTCTTCGTGACGGCAAACACACTGTCCCCGACAAACCCTTCTTCTATGACGTGAAAACTGTAGTTTGTTTTTTGATGAAATCCTAGAAAAGTGACACGTTTTTTGATGGATTCAGCAGCTGCCTGTTGGTGATGAACTTTTTTGGTACAATGGGACTGCATATCCGGAGCCTTGTATTGACCAGATACAGTCGGGAAGGTGAACTTTTTCATTCTCTGATTATCTTTGGGAATTAAAAGATTTCTCGAGAATTTATTTTTGCAATTTTTATGTAGTAATGCTTTAAAGGTTCTTCTTGTTCTCTCAGTTAATTTGTTTTTGTAGTATGAAGCATTGGCTTGGTTGTGTGGAGGTTTAGGCTTTATTGCCACATTTGGACCGCTAGCTGTATAGAACGACAAAGCCTCAAATGTATAGTTTGTAAGTCAAAAGTCTAATCCTGATTTGTGAAGAACACTTATTTTGCAATTGATGTGGCTCTCTTTTAATATAATAACACTGTATGCTGTGTTTTGCAACATGTATTGGTGTGGTGGAATTACCACTTTTCAAATTCCAATTCCAAGGCTCCAATCCCAAGCTACCAAACACAGGATGATTGTAGTCATGTTGTAATACACTACCAAAATTTAGAGTGAAATTCACATAGGAAGTTGCACCAAATTTGGTGATACCTGTCATCATTCGTGATCAAGAATGTCAATAAGCTATTTGTGGAAATCTTAAAGTTGGTTCTTGCTACCATGCTTGTCATTCTGGAGAACTTGAAGTTAAATTGGTAGCATATTAGTGGTGTTATTTGAATGTGGTTGTTGCTTTTTATGGACTAACTCTTTGAAACTACAGCTTGGATACTCGATAGCATAAATAACTGGACTGAATACTACTTCAACTGTAATTACACTGGTACCCCAACTATAGAGAATGGTTTAACTTGGATTTGTTTGTGCCAGACAAAGCAGTTCAATCTTCTTTAGAAACTAATATTTTGCTTGTAACATCCAATTTGAACCCATGAAAATTTGTAAGAAAGATTTTGTTGGCTTAATTGTTTGAGAAGAGGGCACTTGCTGTACTCTGCCAGACGAGGCAGAACTTGTACTGTCCCTCAAGGCATGCCATGAATATTTGCTTGCATGTTGTCGTGCATTCACTGATTTACTTTTAGAAGAGCTGCTCTGTAATTGTTTTTAATCACTTCTCAGGAAACTGCGTGTGATCGAATTTCCTTTTGATCTGACAAGATGCCAAAGGTCTACTCATATGACAACCTATGAGTGGAGCTTGGTGGAGGACCTTAGGTACCCGATCGCTCCTAAATATGGGGAAATGTATCTCACTAGTGTGTCCTTTCCTCCGTAATTGTTTGCTTAGGAAATAATGGATCATTCCGTGTTGGTGAAACTGACTTGTTCAATTAAATTGTGATGTTTGCTTATAGCACTTCATTGTAGTAATTGTGATATGGTTCCTATATGATTTTTTGATCTTGCTGATGCTGACTGTCTCGAGTATGATTCATGAAACTTTGTTGGGTCTGTCAGAAGTAAGGTGTTGCTATGTAATCCAAAGACTAATTATAGCACTCGCTTTTACATTAAAAAAGTGTCTATGCATACAAGATTGGAAATGATGTTTGATTTTTCTACGAAGTATTTTGCATTCCTTTAAATTGAATTTCTATATTGTAACTATGGATTGATTTTAGTAGCATTACTCTTTGCAAACAACAAAAACAGTACCTAAAACATCAACTATCAGAAAAATCTGAGCACAACATTTTCTGATCTTCAGGGTTGTGAGTGGAACATGGCCTGCCCCCTAGGTGGTGTCCGCCGGTTCATCACTTGGCAGAAGTTTCCGAATTGCTCATTCGGCTGACTTGGGCTGTCCGGGGTGACGAGTGCATCACCCTGCCCCATCCCGAAATACTGTTGCACCACTAGCACTGAAAACTGCCGCTGAAAAATCTGATGATGCCAACAAATCTCCAATTGCACCAAGCTCTGGGCACTCACTCCAGTCCGTGAGCCCTGCCGTGAGTGGAGATATCATACCTTGTCCTCTACCAACTATGAACAAGTCATGGATATTTTCGATTGATCTTATTGCTGCCACAGTCTCTTCCCCATGGTTTACCGCCTTCTCTGTGTAAACTATCGAATCATTGCTTGAAGTTCTTGCCCTGAACTCATTTATGTAATCCTCGTCTAGCTGCTTCTCTCTGTCACTATCTGTTACCACTGTTAACACCCTAGGGTCATTTCGTTCGCAGCTAGCCTCCACAGTTGATTCAGCTGCATCATCCCCGGGAAGGAACCGCATTACAGTGAGGTTAATACCAGGATGCTCAGACATCCTCCAGGCATAGGCTAATGCCTCTCTGTCATCCGGTCCACCAAAGAATAGCACGGCAATGTGGTGAGAGACCTGGTTCGCAGTCAAGCGTGTTGACCTATTTAGGCCTCTATCAACAAGAATGCCAACAGAGCAAGGTGCGTTTGCTAATACATTCTGGTTGATTGATCGAAATGCTGGGTTCGTGGCTTCCATCCCTCCATCAACTGTTTGCTGTTTGTGAAATGGGATGATAATGAAGGCCACACGCTTGTCCTCCGCCACATTGCATATGTCTTCATGCATGGTGGAGTAAGGAGAGATCGCAGTGAGGGGTTGGACGGAAACACAGCCAACATGCTGTTCAAAGTTATCAAACGCCTTGATGATACTTTCAGATTGAGCTTGAGTCCTGTTTAGGGCTGGCCGGCCAGACTTTCGAGTGTTATGAACAACGAGCATTGCCGATGCACGACCAGTGAGTTCTACGAGGTGGAGCATATAAACGCAAATCGGGGAATTCTTCGTGGGGTGGGAGGCTTCGAGGAGGTTGATGATTGTTGGAACATTTCTGGGGGTGTGGATGCATACAAGTACACGGAACTCACTATCTGGTTTAGTCCTTTGAATAGTTCTTCGTTTGTATGGTACAAACTTCCTGGCGGGCTTGTAAATTGTTGTGACAATGGGCGTGATGATTCCGGTCATAACCACAGCTACAAGGACCATGATCGCAAATGACTTATCGTCTAACACCTGTATTCAGTGACTGACATATTAATCTTCTTGATAAATTTTTCCAAAGACAAACTCAAGCTAAGGCTCAAGTGATCGGAGAATGGGGGGAGAGTACCTTTTGGTCTTTGCCGACGTTAAGCACGATCATCTCAACAAGGCCTTTGGTATTCATGAGCAAACCAAGCGTCAGACCCTCCTGAAATGGCATTTTGTAGTAGAGAGCAACAAGTAGGGTTCCAACAACTTTGCCAAGGCAGGCAAGAATGATTACAAGCAGTAGAATTCCCCACGTTGCCCACCCTGTAATTAAGCTAATTTCAGTCTTGAGGCCACTAATGGCGAAGAAGAGAGGAAGCAGAAGCCCTGAAACGAAGTCCTCAAGTCTTTCTATAAGGGTAACACCAAGAGGTCCGTTTGGAATCACCAGGCCAAAGACAAAAGCTCCGAAAACAGAATGTGTTCCAATGGCATCTGTGATAAAACCAGAGATCATAACCCCAGTGAGAATCAGGCATATGTAGAATTCACTGATGGATTCGCCTTCTGGAGTTTTCCGCATCATCCAAACGATCAGTGGCCGGACCACGAATATGCAGAACACCACGAATGCCGTGCTCGATAGGATCACCCAGAGAGACGCCAAGGACATACTTCCATTCTCAGCCAAGGCGATGGCAAAAGCTAAGAGAATCCATGCACACATGTCGTTGACGAGAGCCGACGACAAGGCGATCCGACCAATCTCGGTGTCGAGAAGTTTGAGCTCTGCAAGTATTCGGGCAAGCACGGGGAATGCTGTAACGGAGAGAGCAACTCCAAGGAAGAGAATGAAAGTGCCTTGTTTCATGAATTGTGATTTCTGGTGCAACAAGATGGAGAATGAAGCACCAATAAGGAAAGGCAATATCATCCCGGAAATAGCAACGGCGAAGGCCTTTTTTCCAGTGCGACGAATTACCCCGAGGTCCATTTCCACTCCAACCAGGAAAAGGAAGTAAAGAAGACCAACATTCGCCATTGTTTCCAGCACCATTACACTTCTTAAAGGAAATACCGCATTGGCAAAGTGTTGGTTTTGTCCCAGTACTGAAGGACCCAATATCACGCCACCCTGCGGTCACAAGAATGGTTTGCAATAAGTAAATAGAGAAGAAGAGTATTTTGATATTTCATCGAGAGCATAGACTTTCTGTTGAATAGTTTTATCGCGATGTTGATTTCTCACACACTAATGCATCCTTAGGGTTCTCCAGTACAAGCGTTTCTGTGATATTGCCCTTCTGATTCCTCTCACATTCGAGTTCTTCGCGTACAATTTGTTGTATACCAATTAAAAGTTCATAGAATTTTTATAATTTGAACCTATGTTATTCAGGTTTCAATTTCCTAATTACTCGACCCATGCAATGAATTGGTAACCCTAGATGGGGGAGAAGGGATTTTTTTTGGTTTATATCTTCTGTATATAAATTGTCTTCGTGTATTTTGAAAATAGATTATTTAACTTAGGCAATTGATATTGTTTTCTTGTTCTTCAATAGCCATGTGCATGCATTCAATTCAACTGGTTTGCATGAACAAGAACAAGAACATACGTTAAATATTTGTGGTAATGTATACTTACAAGGATCTCAGCGATAACACGAGGTTGGCGAAAGGGTTTCAAGAGAAAAACTAGAATACGAGTCATTACCACAACCAATGTTAGTTGCAAGATGAATAGAGGGAGA